CACAATCCCACCAACTTTTCTACCCACGCAACAGCAAACCTTCATGATCACCTTGATTCGCATGCGCAAGTCAATTAATACCAAATTGATTTTTTCCTCTCACGAGATGACAACAGACAGATTGATACCAGGACGCCTTGATTCATGTGCAGTTGAAAAATGAATCTGCCTAAAACCTGCCTGCTGCGACGTGACTGCTTGATTGACCACACCGCAGCACAGCAGCACGGGCGGACCTCCTTCTAACGACATCAGCATGGCCGAGTGCAGCAGCACGACAGCAGATCGATATCCTCCTTCAATCCGCCGCTTGGACGTGTTGAATCACCGTTTAGACACGGCACGGAAGAATTCGTCGAAGTCGATTTGATGACGGCAGCGGCGGCGGAACAAGGACTTAAATCCTAACTTTTTTTCAATCTCGTGTCTGACTCTAGATAGCACTAACATAATGTGAATAAAGATCAAACACGAGACACAGATTTTACGTAAAAAACCCTTACGGAAAAAAACCACGGGCACCAACCAGCGATCTTCACTATATGATGAGAGTTTACAGAATGCAGGGAATACAATGAGTCGTCTCAACTCTTCCTGTGCGGCTTACAAGATATATTTATAAGATGGACTGACTGTAGTCAAATACAAAAATAAATCCGCTAATAAACATAACCCGAACCACGAACCATCCAGGTGTCACCGCAAGACTCACGTTAGAATTCGGATCATATTTCAACACTGCGTCGCTCCCGCACACGCGCGCACCACATGCCGCACGGACCGAGCCACGGTGCCCGTCCACCGTGCTCTGTTTTGCTCTAACAAGGAACGTCCTCTTCCTTGATTCGATTCGTTGTTAGCTTGATGACGTCATCATGATGTCATCAGTACGTGATATATGCCATTTTTCTTTAAAAAATAAAATCCAGATATACCATCTAAATACATATATATACCGGAGGACATTCTTAGCCGTAAATAACCAGATCTGCGGTCAAGATTTAATCATCTCAATACACCTTCATCATGGACTTGGTCCACGGTGGATCACACACACATCCCACCGTCGGTCCACGGCCCATGAACCGAGTCCGCAACATGTGCACACGCACTTTGCAGTCTAGCCCTCCATTTATGCCAAATAAAACCACTGTCCGCTGAATCACAAAAACCTCCCAAAAGAATTAGTTTTCTATATCTTTGTCTTTATCTATTGTTGACGGTAGTTATCAACCAATTTAATCCGTCAACTAAAAATGGATAAGGACATAAATATAATCACCAATGAAAGTTTAGGGATTTAAACTAATGAATTCCATGAGTTTTGGTGAATATATGTTTTCAGTAGGGTTTATCTAGAAAACCGTTAAGGAGAACCTAATCGTTAAAGGAAACGACGGAATTCCACCAGATAAAAGTATCTCAAATAATGAAGTAGAGTGCACCATTACGAAGAGCTCGTCGTGTTGATTGAAACGGCTATATCAGTTGCTATATTTGGAGTCCAGAGTAAAAAGATATCAAATCCACGACAAAAACATACATGGGAAGACTCTAGAAGACTCAGAAAGACACCATGCCGAAGCAGGGGCCAAGACCCTGCCAGGTGGGACCGGCCGGTCCCACTCTAGTGTCGGCCGGTCCCTGGCAGTGGGCCCCGCCTGTCAACTTCCAGAAGATTCCTCCTACCGCCTCCTAGGATGCATCTACGTCGTTTCTTAAGTTGGTTTGATCCAAGGGCTCACGTTGCTTCCTCAGGGATATATAACCACGGCCTGCCCCCCTCTCTGGAGATCATCCTAAACCCATAATTCATATTCTCTAGTCAGGATCTATTGAGGGGTCCCATGAATGGATCTACCTCTCAGATCTAGCTATTAAGAGAATATACGTCTTTATTATAGTCGTTTCATTCTGTCTCCGCTTAGAAAAGGGCAAGCGGATACTGTCGGTATTGCCTTGCGAAGAGCTTTACTTGGAGAAATAAAAGGAACATGTATCACACGCGCCAAATTTGAGAACGTGCCACATGAATATTCCACAATAGTAGGTATTGAAGATCTAGTCTTATAATTAGAAATAGTGAGATAGAGAGTGAGGGAAGAGTTTGGAGAAGATGCCAGCCTATCGGTGCTATCTCTAAACTAATAATAGTTTGCTCGAGAAAAGCTATTTTGGTATTTTGGATTTTAGGACTCAAAAAATTTCAAATTTCTTTTGAAGTTTGTCTTGTACCTTGGCGGATCCAAGTTCTACTTGAGCTTGACTTTGAGATATCTCTGGTAATCAACTTCTGATATAAGTAAGCTCTTATTTATATTGTTTTTCTGGTTCACGACTCACTTTTGAGTGCTTTATTTTCTTCCTAGGGGGAGTAGAGTATTAATCATAGGTGTAAGCGTGGTGCTTAGACTTAGGTTATTCGTGGAAACCCCCTGCATTCCGGATCGGTGGTAGATCGCGAGGGTGACAGCCTCGTTGAGTCTTTTGTAATTCACCTCCCATCTGTAGGCGAACGTAGGACGAGGCTACTGAGGAAAACATCCTCTGTTGGTGTCTCTCCTTAGGTAATGTCCCCAGTTAAACAGTAAAAGACATAAGTTTATCCAAGTTATAACTAGAGACCCATAGTTATCCTCTCTACACTCCTATTTATCTTAACTTTGTTGCTACTCCTATATTATATTAAACCTTAACCTAATCCCTTACCCCCTGTTAAGTTAGACTGTAGTTAGTTTCACACATTTTCTATGGATACGATATTTAAAACCTCCGAGTGAAAGCTACATCTGTATTCGTGCGCTTGCGGATTTATCCGTGTGCGTTAAATATACCAACACCTATTTGCAGAGAGCTCATGGAGGGGGATTGAAGGAGGCGATCGAGCAAGTAGAGAGAAGGGAACAACTTGGACTTATTGTTATTGTTATTGTTGTTGTTATTATTATTATCATCATCATCATCGTTACTGTTGTTGTTGTTGTTGTTGTTGTTGTTTAGAAGACTCTTTCTTATACCATTTCGTCGAAATGAAATCAACTTTTAGAATTACCATATTTATAGAAAAGAGTATAAATATTATGACAGTAAATTAATATTATTGTGCCATATAGCTGTGGATGGAAGAGAAACGCATACTCTAAATCAACTTTTAGAATTACCATATTTATAGAAAGAATATAAATATTATGATATCAAATTAATATTATTGTGCCACATAGTTGCGGAGGGAAGAGAAACACATACTCTGGATTTGAGCTGTACTAATCAATGGTGGAAGGTGAGGTACGGAGAAAGTTGATGTGATCATTTGAGTTGAAAAGTCTATTGGCCTAGAGTGTTTTTTTTCTATTGCAACGCACGGACATTTTTGTTAGTCTATCTATACCTAATAATAAAGAGGTAAAATTTTAGCTTATTTTTTCCCTCTATTTTTTTAGTCCATCTATTTTTTATCCGTCTCTGACAATTGAGAGTTTCTTTCGTCCGGATTTATATATATATAACCTGTGCCCAAAACATGTTAAGAATTGCTCTTATCTAGCGCAACATGAGTTCGAATCCAAAACATATTGGGTCAGCCCACAAGTTTTTGATATGATTAGAAAGCTAGAAAATCCTAAATAGATTCCTATGATGGAGAGTAATCTGAATACGAATCCTAAACATGAATTCTATTTTCCGTCCGAACTCGATCCCGTCGAGGCAGCAATGTCGTGTGCACTTGCCGCTTGCCTGTTTGTTCTATGTTCAATCGGATTCCCCAGCTGTTGTATGCCGAATAAAAAAAGAGAGGACGGATAGTTCAATCGGATTCCTCAGCTGTTGAATGCCGATTAAAAAGAAGAGAGGCCATATACATCCGTATAGAGGCAAAATTTCAGACATATTTTTTCAGCCTCTTCGTCCGCTAAAAGTCTATATAGGACTGTGATCCTTATCTAAATAGGACTCAAACTGATCAATGGCTTCTCTAATATTCTTAATTTATAATAATAAAGAGACAAAATTTCTATCATATTGTTCTGTCTCCCCCTTCCGCATTCATGTAATCCGAATTCCGTCCGTATATAGCCTATTCTTTTTTTTCGTTCCGGTCCACCCCGTAGCCGTATGTGATTCCTTCCAGGCTTCCTATGTCCGCTTCCAGTCAGCCTCCGAAATCCCTGCGAGGAAACCACCCACACCTGTAAAAAGAAAACAGCAAAAATACAAGCCTACGACCTACGTACACTCGTGGGGAAAACAACGGCAAAAATATAATCTAGCCAGGGAACGTACCAACGTCTCCATATGAATTATAAATAAATCTTCCATAACTATAAAGATTAAAAAGTAGATATTTTTTGTCCGTAACTATAAAGACTAAAACATGAACATTTTTGGTGCCACAATCGCTTGGTCCGTCAGTTGCCGCCTCGTGCAAAGAGCATCTCCAAAGAGTCCTATTTTTTTCTCATAAAAACATGTAGTTTTATAACTCCTAAAAAGCTATTGAGTGGAAAAAAATACCATCTCTAAGAGTTTCTAATAGTTCACTCCTAAACCATAAGTTTCTAATAGTTCACTCCTAAACCATAGAAGACAATTTTACATCAGAAATCCTATACTATTTCTAAATTATCGTAACCACTTTTATATATTCTTTCTTTCTCGTAAATTTGCATCAGGAACTCTTTTCCTACTTTTTATTCTTTCTCATACCCTTCCAACTTTAGATTGACCGATACGCATGGGATCCGCACGACCGCTACTACATGCAAAGTTATGCGCAACGGGGAAGAATTTACCAAGTATGTAAATTTTAGGAGCATAGATTAGGGGTCGTTGAAGAGGTGTTTTTTTTCGTTAGGAAGAAAAATAGGGTAGGAAATGCTCCGAAGCCTTCCTCGCTTGAGTTTCTGCGCCGACAGGTGGGACCAGCGCGGCGTCCCGCGCGCCTGCTCACCTCGCGCTCAGTTCGTCCTCCAACAATCACGGCCAGCTTCACGCCCCACCAATCACGCCCTCTCATCCTTCCCTGCCCCGCGCCACGCTCCCTGCTCCCTGGCCGTCGCCGCAACCAGCAGGTGTGCCAACCCCCTTCTCTTCCCTTCTCTTGGCCCCTGCGTTTTCTTCTCCCCCTTCTCTGACGTGGGCGCCGCCGCCACCCCTCTTCTCCTTGTTTGCCGTCCCGGCTCCGCAGGCAGGAGTGGACCTACTGCGTGTACCGCACCGATGCCGCCACGGCGCTGGGTGGCACCACGCTCGCGCTGCTGCTCGTGGGACAGGCGGTGGCCCCCATCTCCAGCCGCTGCTTCTGCTGCGGGTCTGCGCTGCGGCCCGGCGGCGCCCAGGCCTGCGCGCTCGTCCTCTTCCTCTCCTCCTGGTACCACTGATTCTTCCCTGCTGATCCCAATCTTCTCCTGTCCTCCCCCAAACTCTTCCCTTTTAACGGAGCACCCAAACCCTGAAACTAATTGGCTATTTGTCTTCAGATCTGATCTAATTACATGATCCTACATGTATTATGCCTGCGAACTTCGATCCCTTTCAAAGACGCTGCACGGCCACCACGACACCTGATCCGCTGCACCAATCTACGAAGGGGGACCTGCTTGTGTTGCCGCATGTCCACGACGCTCACCAGAGGCCAGAGCTGCAGGTCTGTAGTCTGCAGAGTCAGGCATTGAATTGCCAATTGCAATTTGCTATAGAAGAGTACTACTGCTTTTTGTGGCTTAATGAAATTTTTGCTACTGTTTTTTCTTGCTTCAGCCAAATTAAGTTTTCAAAAAATTCGGTCCAGGCATAAGCTGAAATTATCTGAAAATTATCAGTGTTCTAATTTATCACTTCTGTAAGTTCAAATTCAGACATACGTAAAAGTAGTGCCAAGCAGGTTAACCAATTTTTTTTCTCAGCACTATACTGCAAATGTAACAGAACTTGTTTTGTTGTCGGATATACCTTTGCATGCACCCCCATATCAAGCTCCCGTAGGTTGTACCAATTCAATCCACAAGGACGTTTGTTAACTGAATCTCTATATTGCTATGATTCTATATCTTTATAGAGAATTATTATAATTTTTTGGTCAAATTTGTACCTATTTTTCTATTTGAGCTATCTCAAAATTGATGTCATTAGCCATATGTAATATGTGCAAACTTTATCCTTTTAGGAGAACAATTTGATGAGGTTTTTATCTATTTATGTCTATGCATAATTCACTTATGCCTACATTATTTAGACAGTATGAAATGTTGAGGTTTTTTCCTCGCTTGTCTTGTTTATGCAGACTGACAAGTCCTTGGTAATATTCACTTAACGTATTCTTCAATTTTTATTCTGTGCAGACCACTCTTCGTAAATACAGATCTCTCTCAAGCTTGTGCAGGTGCGTATTGAAACTTGACACTATTATATAAACATCTTTCAAGTTCTTGATATATGATCAGTCATATGTGTGTGTGTGACCATCAGCGATAGGCTTCGCTCTTTTAATCATGATGCCTTTTCACTGAATATTCCTATTAACTGAATGTGTGTGTGACCTTCTAACTGAATGTATAAGTATGCCTCATCTTACAGTAATCGCAGCTTCATATATATAGGAACACCTCTGTTTTAAGTTTCTTTTGCCAGAGTGCGGCATGGCTATGCACAATCTTATTTAGGCTATGGTAGAGTCAAAAAATGAGTTTAAGTAATTTTATCCATTTGCCTGAGACTGTGACTTTCTCATTCCTGTTTACAGACAGTTAAATCAGCTCTGCAAATTAACCTTCTCAATAAACTCTACTGTTATTGATTGTTTCATCTGAAGTTGATAAAAGGGCAGACCTAGTGTCGGAGGCTCCCACATGAGTGGGGTCTGGGGAAGGGAAAAACCGAGGCAAGCCTTCCCCCCGCAAAATCTGCGGAGAGGCTGCTTCGAACCCATGACCTATATGGAAAATTTGACAGCCCTTGGTACAAATGGTATGATATGAATACCAAATGAGAAAAATAACATCAATGTGCACTAAGGCTCTTGCTGTTTCTTGCTTCCAGCAAGCACAAGCACTTAGCTTAGGTTCTGAACTTTGTCATATGCAAATGTTGTCTTCTTCCCGAAGTAAAAACAATTGTACAAATATGCTTGGTGATATAACAAAAATAGCAGTAGATGAGGTGATATACTAAGATATCATATTCACAGACGAGGTTATTTCAAAAATCGCAAAAATACTGATATCCAAAAAACGCAAGTTGCAGGTAATTTCATTGTTGGTCAACTAATCTTTGATTGATTGCAATAGCTTTGGAAGGGCATTCATTATCTAAAAAAAGAATTCGAAAGGCATTGTGCTCTTGCCATCATCAGGTACAAGGAGATTCAAATTTCACATTACTTTTTGCTGGGTTTTTGGTTTTCTGGAGTAGGAAACGGAGGCAGAGGTGGACACCTATTGGTAACGGGGTGTTTGCCTTTTTGAATTCTTATCTAAACGTAGGCGCTAACTGTTAGCCCTATTGAATATTGATCCAAATAGCCCCTTGAGGATAAGTAAAGAAATGTCTCTCTAAAATACAAATGCTTTACTAATATACAGTCAATTGATTAGTGTGGCTCTGAACCTTTTCCTTCACCTCTTACAGTCCTAGCTAATTTTGCATTCCAAGTAAATAAATAAGTAGACATTTTGTTATTATGTTTGTAGATGCACCACGCCTGTGTGTTTAGCCATGTCTGTGTTGTACACCTAGAAAATCAACCTTATATAAGACTTCACTAATGAAAAGATGTACTACTGGTCGACCACCATGACTCCAGCACTGTCTGACTACTAATGATATCCGTTTCAGGTTCCTCTGTTCTAATCTTTTATATGAATTCTATTAGATGCAGCAAAATATTACATGCAAGGTTACTCTGAACAGAAATACAAGGAGTTCAGTAAAGTAGTGAATATTGGAATGATGTGACAAATGATGAGAAGATGAGACTCGCACTAAAATCTTTATGAAGGTTCCTGTAATTTGAGATTTCATAGTGGGAAGAAGAAGGGGCAGTTCCCTTTCAGAGTAGTTTCAGATTTCAGCTGCGGTAAATGAGTCATTTTACATTTTGCAGTCATTAATTATCTCAGTGAATTTCAGTTTACGTATATGAGCAGTGCTTGGCAGCGGCACCTCGCTGCAGACTACGGAGTCCAAGAGGGGAGGCTAGAGAGCAGAATAGGAGGCTGGAGAGCAGAACCTGATGGCCGCCACCACCAGAAGACTTCAATGGGGACCTATCCAACGACTGCCCAAGATCAGTGAAGTAAGGAAAAAATCTTCTTCTTCTTGGTCTCTACCAAGAAATGTCTTTCAATTGATGAAATGTACCTTGTTGCTTACTCGTTGTGCCCAATAGATGGACAAGACATGGATCCACTCGTTGTGTTCAATAGATGGACAGGACATCGATCCTTGGCAATGCAATTGACTAAATGAAGGAACTGGATAAAATCAAGCTGCAGGCATGAGGAGATCATTGGACATATTGTCAGTAATGCAATCTGGATCCCGCTATACATTACACCTTTCAAGCTCAACATTTAGCTTTGTTCATCTAAGATTCTGATTTTGGATTTGGTATTGTTTGGCCGCATTGTCAGTAATGCAATCTGGAGCCTGAGAATCCTTCGCAATATATCCAAGTGATATGCACCTGTCATGGACCTGCAATTAGAAGCTCTCACCGGTTCATACCAAATTGGTGTCGTGATATCTTAGAGCTTACTGTCTACTCACACAAAGGTGAGAGAGAGCTCTGAAATTATCCTTCAGTATTAGCACCATATCATGTCAAGTGCAGCTCATCGATGTCTGCTTTTTCATCATGCTTTGCTATGATTTTAATTCATATAGTCTCTGGAGAACTTCTGAATTTTGATGGCACAGCTAAGTTCACTAGCAAAAAAAGTGCATTTAATCATTTTAGAAGGGTGTGACTTTAGAAAGAGTAGAGGGGGCATAAGATGTATCACAACCCTTTAGCACCATAGAGGTTAAAGGCGACAAGCTCGTTCTGGGGAGCTTAATGGAATGCAGCTGAAGCTCTAATTTTTTATTATATTTTTATTCCAGTTTTGCAGTAGAGCACACTCCAATAGACTAACATACCAAACTGTGAGTTTTAGTGTGTCAGAAAAATAGATTTGAGTTAACTTATCCTTTGCTTCTCATTTTTGGCTTTATTAAGATAAGGAAAATAAAGCAGTGAAGTAGTTGTGGATTCCTCTGAATGAAGGAGAAAAACATAATCAATATGCAGTTAGAAGCTCTCAGGTGTCTCTTCAGTTTCTGGTGATGAGTCACCGATCCTAGATGGGGATTCGTGTGACTTCAAAGTGGAGAAAAACTTTGATGGTAATGGGAATAAGGAAAAGAAAACGTCTCAGAAGATCAGTACAGGTAACGGCTTTGCTTCTTTAGAAGGCCATGTTTCATCTAGAAGGTACTTTTCCAGTCTCGCTGCCCCCAATAATACTTGTTAGCCTGTATGTGTATCGGTGTATCCTATGCAATCTTATCATTGTTTCAGAATAACTATTTTAATATTTTCTTTTGTGCTTGTGTCTCTGATATTTACACGATACACAATTCCACGAATTTGTCACAAGATAGCTATGAGATTCCTGGAATGCTGCTCCACCTATAAAAGTGACAAATATTTATACTGATGTCCTATTGGCCGTCTCAAACTTAGTCATGCCTATCACTTATCCGTATTCACCTTTTTTGTAACAATTTTTATCAAAACTAAATAGTCCCGCTCTGTCATGGTCCTGGGAAAAGTGGCAAATATAATGCGAGGAGAAAACCCGGTTCCGGTCACAGGGCTTGCACCAGGCCCGCCCTTCAATTTTTATCAAAACTAAATAGTAAAAAATCAAATATAAAATAAAAGGTTTTGGTAACCCACTTGAGTTTGCCAATTATTCAGTGGTTTGTGTGATGCTTATTTCCGTACTCTGTCAGACAGTGAAAAGTTCTAAATTATGAACTCATTTGGATTTGGATAGAACAAAGTTATATGTTCAATTAGGACCAGGGAGAACTTATACACCTTCCAATTTTACACTAAAATTTATACAGCTTCCAATTTATACAGTAGAGCATAGTCTGTAAAGCGCCAAACTATTTGAATCGATGCTTCTGGTTGATCTCAAATTGTTTGTCGCTGGTTGAATGGAAGTTGCTATCCCTTCCTGATGATAAGAACACCTACCTTTTTGTTACTTGTACAGTTGTGCTTCTTTACGAGTTGCTTTTGAGTTGTCTTTCTTAGTTCTACCTGTCATAGCCAGATAGCCTTCAAACATGCTTTCTCATGGTATTATTACTTTTTTTCAGTGGTCTGACAGAACTTCCAATTGCCTCTATGTCCACCTGTTGAACTTTATGAAGACAAGGTAACAATTATTACTTTGCCATCACCACAATGTACCTCCACTATCAGCCCGCAAATTTGTTTGAAATTTCTGTTTATTTCTATATTTCAGGGTTTTCTGCTTTGGATCAGCAAGCAGAAACCGCTTACTTTTGACTCAAACTTGGTTTGTACCTCAACCATCAAAATTTAGTCCTTAAATTGTT